GTGAGGATGTGAAGATGAGCAGAGATGTAGATGTGCAGTTGTGAATGTAGATGTGAAGATGAGCAGAGATACAGGTGAGAATGTGGATGTGTAGAGGTGAAGATGTGAAGATGTAGAGGAGGTGTAGTTTTGCAGATGCTTTTTTCGAAGAACCCTTCGCAGACGCTCTCGGGAAAAATTGATTCCTATCAAACAACATTAATTCATATCAAAAATTACTTTACTTCGAGTGATCCCCACCATGACATTTCAATCATTTGACTTGATGCCATAGTGAGGAGCATGTTGCCATGGTCGTGAGTATTGTAGTTCTCGATTTTGCTTGTGGGTCCTCGGGTTGTGTGCTGCGTTGTGGTTGTGTGCTGTGTTGTGGTTGTGGTTGTGTTTGTGATTGCGTGTTCGTGGCTGTGTGTTTGTGATTGTGTGTTTGGGGATGTGTTTGCGGTTGTGCTTGTGGCTGTACGTTTGTGGTTGTGTCCTTGTGGTCGTGTTGTTGTGGTTGCGTGTTTGCGGTTGTGTGTTTGTGGTTGTGTGTTTGTGGTTGTGTTTGTGTTTGTGTGTTGTGGTTGTGTGTTTGTGGTTGTGTTTGTGGTTGTGTGTTTGTGGTTGTGTTTGTAGTTGTGTGTGTTTGTGGTTGTGTTTGTGGTTGTGTTTGTAGTTGTGCGTTTGTGGTTGTGTTTATCTGGCAATCTATCTGACATACTATCTGGCATACGGTCTGGCATACTATCTGGCAGTTTGTCTGGCATACTATCTGTCATTTTATCTGGCATTCTATCTGGCATTTTATCTGGCATTCTATCTGGCATATTTTCTGGCATTCTATCTGGCAATGTATCTAGCAATCTATTCTGACACACTATTTGGCATACTATCTGGCATATCTTCTTGCAGCATTCTATCTGGCAATCTACCTGGCATTCTATCTGGCGTTTTATCTGGCAAACTATCTGGTTGAGGTCCAGCGGTGCACACTGCGATCGGATCCTTGCGGTAGAGGTCCAGCGGTGCACACTGCGATCGGATCCTTGCGGTTGAGGTCCAGGGGTGCACACTGCGATCGGATC